AATGTACCTACCTATATAGTTTAAGTTTAAAAAATTTGGCTCTCAAAAGAAATTTCAATCGTTGTACTGTTGATATTTGGCTCTGTTGACTAATGAGTTTGCTGACCACTGGTATAGCCCAATGACAGGGGCCCTTTAAAGGACCACTGAAGTTGCTGTGCAGAGAATAGACCATGAGGCAGAGATGGGAGGTCAGCAAAGAGGAAGCAGGAAAAGCAGTGAGGAGGCTGTTGCAATAGCAGTAAGCACTCATAAGAGAATATGAATATTATTTAAAATGTCAACCCTTCTCTCACCTCTGATCTCTTCAACCTCTTTCCATCCTCAGACCCAACCCCAGAAATGGTGAAGATGAAGGCTGAGCAGCCCTTCATGACCCCTGAAAAGACTACAGGTTGATGATGCTTTCTCCAGATGGCCAGGCGTTAGTACAAAAAGCAGAAGTCACAGAGGAATCGCTCTGTGTAGGGGTGGAGGGTGCAGAGAACTCTGATGCCAGCTCATCTGGGTGCACGAGGAGCTGAGGAAAGGGCCACAGAAGGCAGAGCAGAAGATTGGTGAGCAGGAGGGCCTGCATTAGGGGCTAGGTCTGAAGGACAAGGATGAGAATCCTGGGAAGAATGAACTGACCCCAGGGTTCTGAGTAGAACTCTAGGCAGGCTGAAATCTCAGGCCTTTTCAGAAACCCAATGGCATCAGGAATCTTAACAAAGCATTAGAGGAGGTGCTGAGGTTCAGACTGGCCAAGGAACTCTGCCACGGTAAGCCAAAAAGGAGGGCCTTTTATATGTTCTTCAGGGTACAGTGAGTTAGGGGGTGCCATAGTCTCTGTTGTCTGCTGAAGTACTACATGACTTCTGAACACCCACGAAGCAGTGACCTTCAGCCAGCTGGTAGGCCTGCCAGCATGATGTACGAAGGGTCGTCGCCTGAGGTCAGCTCTCAGTTCTCAAAGGCCCTGCTAACCCTGATGCTGACTGTGTTTTGACATCTAGGTCTTAGTTATATAATGGCACCCATTGATTCTCTTTTTGCTCTTTGGCCCTGCTTTCTTCCTCCCTTGTTCCCTCATCTACAGCTTTACTGATGACCCTGAAAAACTGGTGACAACCTAAATGTCCAATAGTAGGAGAATGAATAAATCACAATATTTTTGTGCTTTGGAATACTGAGAGACAATTAATCAAATGGGGCAAACTTGTATCTGCTATCATGGAAGGATCTCTAAGATGATTGTTGGGTGACAAAAAAGGAATTAGCAGGATAATGACTAGTGTTAGATTACATTTTTGGAAAGAAAGGGAAGGAAGGGAGAGAGGGATGGGAAGGAAGGAAGGAAAAAGGGAGGAGGGAAGGAAGGAAGGAAGGAAGGAAGGAAGGAAGGAAGGAAGGGAGGAAAGGAGGGAGGGAGGGAGGGAAGGAAGGCGGGAGGGAGGAGGAAGGAAGGAAGGAAGGAAGGAAGGAAGGAAGGAAGGAAGGAAGGAAGGAAGGAAGGTTAAATCATATTTATGTATACTGTGTGTATAAGTATGTTTGCTTGGTGTTTGTGAGTAGAGAAAAATTTCACAAAGATACTGAACTAAGAACTGCAGTCCTCCAGACGTGGCCCTAGGGATAGAGGGAAGGAACAGAGGAAGAAGCTTGACTACTTACACTTTCATTTCTGTAACTCCGGAACTTTTTACAAGCAGGGTTATAGCTTACATTAGTAATTAAGTCAGATAATGATCCTATCTAGGTCTGGTCTTTATAAGCTCAGTGCACACTATGGCTTTATTAACTCTGGGCTGGGGCACGATGGACGCGAGTGTCTGTTTACTCACCGCAGGCTCATTGTTCGGAGGAACCCAGCACGGATGATGGAAGCAAATTGCAAAATCACTCAGCAGAAACTGGAGAACGTTGTCAATGAGTTGGAAAATTGTTCTGAGCGATTTGTGATGAAGGGTAGTGACTGGGCTGAAGCTGAGATATTTGAACTGCCTTGCTGTCTTCTGATTATGAGAGCTGAAATTATTAAAGTTTAAAATTACATAAGCAGAAAGACAGTTTTCTCACTCTTAAATGACAAATATAAGTCCCACACAAATAATTGCAGGTTATAAGGAGTTGAATCTGAAACCTACCTACACTACACTGTAAATGTTTTGAAAAGTGAATTCAATTTAATATAAAAATACTGAAAGGTGATGTTTTAATAATTTTTATATTTGATTTGTTTGCATAAGGTTTCACCCAAAGGCTGGGTGAACAACCTTTCTACCCAATCACTTAAAAACCTGTTAGAGTTGACACCGATGACTTCATCTTACATTAGCTTCCTGTCTAAATATATCTCCGAGCAAATTACTGCAGACAACCTCCGTGTTAAAACAGCTTTCGTGCAAACACAATCTCTCAAACAAGTGCGAAGGAGCTACACTTGAAAATTCACCCCTTGTCATTAATTTCCAAAGTCAAGGACACTTCGCTAAGCCCCTGGCCCAGATCTCAAGAGAGAAAAGGGCCTGGTGGCGGCGGACAAGGCTTGTGCTCACAGCCAGCCTCACGCATGCTCCTCCGCCCAGTCGCCCAGGAGGCTGGTTCCGTCCGGGCTGGGCTACTGACCACCCCGCCAGCCAGGCCTGATTCTTCTCCCAGCCACTCTGCTTTCTTCTGTGGATTAACCAGAACATTTTCAAAACCAGATCAAATAATTGCTATTCAGAAAGGGCAGGTCCACCCATGTTTAGAGACAGTTAAAGAGCTGAAGTTCATGGAAAAAAATTGATAGATATCTCAAATGACAAGATATTATGGAAATATTTTAATTCAATTCTGTCCTTTTAAAGCTGAAGAAACCAAGTCCCTGAGAGCTATGTGACTGGCCAGAACCAAACGGTTATTTTGTGGTCAATGTATCGCTAGGCAGAAAGAGACTATCTTTACCTAGATATTTCGGGAACATTTTGGTGATATAAAAACATGATTACATAAAAATGTAGTAATTCATATCACATACCTTATTAGGTAACCAAACAATGATAAGTTGCAGTTTCTTGGCTTCTGTTTTTTATACTAAGGCTTAAATATTATTTTATTCATTAGGGAAATCTTCATCACCTATTATATGCCAGGCATGGTTCAGTTTCAGGGGAAAAGGACCATTGGAGAGTTTTGAGCAAAGAAGTGATGTGATCTGATTTATTTCAAAGGACCACTCAAGTTGCTGTGTGAATAGACCATGAGGCACAGACGGGAGGTCAGCAAAGGGGAAGCAGGCAAAGCAGCGAGGAGGCTGTTGCAATAAAGGTAGCACTCGTGGCGGCTTGCACCAAGGTGGTAGTGGAAGGAATGCTATTTTGCAGGAAGAGTCAACAGGATTTGCTGCTAATGCACTGGGTATGAGTGTGAGAGGAAGGAATGAGTCAGCCATAATTCCAAAATATTTGGCTTCTGAAAATACAGCAACTGAAAGAATGCAATTGCCATGAACTGATATGGAGAGAACCAGAAAATTAAGGATTGAGGGGATAAAATCTGCAATTCAGTTTGGGGCATATTGTTTGAAAATGCTAGAAGATATTCAAGAGTGATATGAATCAGCACGATCAGACCTAAGCAAGTGGAGTTTAGAGGAAATACTGGGTTATATATTTTCTCACTCCAATTTTGAAGTGAAGAGCTTAATTATAGCTAATTATCACCCCTAAAGTCTCTAATAAAGCATTTCTCACTAGAGTGTTAGGAACTACTATATTCTACTGATTCAACTAGTTCTTTATGTATTAGGAGCCAGACACTATTATAGGTTCTGGGGGGTATAAAGATGACTATGGTCCTTGTTCTGGGTGCCTAGATGTAGAGGAAGGGAAAGAAAATAAACAAAAGTCTACATCATTATAAATGCTGTAAGAGTTTGCCCAACATGCTAATGAAAACCCTGAAGCAGACACAGTTAACTATCCCGGGAAGGCCAGAGTTAGTATTTGAGTGGCCTTTAGGGTTGTGTATGTGTTTTTCAGACAGGCAAGGGTGGGACAAGCATTCCAGACAAAGAAAACATGAACCGGGTGCCAGGACAGGGCTGGGCAGAGCTCATGCAGGACCCTGGTGCCGTATGGCCAAAGCCCAGGCTGTGTGGGAACGGAGGCTGTTAATAGCCGGGATGAAGAGAAAGCAGTGGGTGTGGAGTGCGGAACATATGATGTGCTGGGCTGCTATGCTACCCCATAAAGGAAGAGGGGGCAAACACAGGCAGGATGAGTAAAGACACACACATCCGTTCACGCAGGCCCAGCTGTGCTCCGCTGAGCTGCGTTAATCTCCTGGCGGCAGAGGAGGTGGCCCTGCTGTCTGGGAGGGAGGGTCGGGTGCCAGGAGCTGACAATGTCATGAAAGGGTGCCCTTCAGAGGGTTGTCTATGGCTGCTGAGAACGGGGCCAGCTGCTGGGGGGGGGGGGGGGGGGGGGAGCAGCGAAAGAGCAGGCACGCCCGGGAGAGGCCTTGGCCCCCATCTGAGAGGAAGGAGAGCCACCAGCGAGCTTATGTTCCAAGAGGCCCATGATGAGATTTTCCCAAGGGGCCACTCCTTCCCAGGAGACTGACAGGGACTGGTGCTTCAACGCAGAGAAATTCATCACGTTTGGTAGAAGTACATCAATGGATCACAAAGTCTGTGCAGAGAACATTGGGGTGGGCGGCCCTCAGACCATGTCACAGTAAAAGGCTACTTACCTACTCTTTTATTATGTGAGATCAGCCTGCAAATACGTGGTTTCTGTCCAGTTTTAGCCTTTGAGAATCACAAAAGAAATGCTTTTACTTAGGATATTTCAGAAATATGGAATGTCTGCAAATATTTATCAATTTTAAAGCAGTGTTAAGATTTAAATACACACTATAGAAAGGATCATCTATTAAAATTATGTTCATGATGGAGTGTGTGTGTGTGTGTGTGTGTGGGGGGGCACTGATGGGGACAGTGTGGGGCAAAGACTACCGACATGGTCTCAGGAACCCTGGGTGCATGTCCAGCCTCTGGTGGGAACTCTTTGATGATCAAGTCAGTTTAACTTCTGAGGCACCCGGTGCTCTTTCTTGGAAGTGATAAAGGTGTTGCACTAGATGAGTCTAATATCCTCTCCTGCTCTAGGATTCCATGAGGAGTTAACTCAGAATCTTATGGAGAATAGAAATGAACACTGGAAATCCTCACCTCTCTCCCTGCAAGTCCCTTGGCCTCTTCATTTTGCTGTTCATCTTTTCTTCCTCATCAGCATCCTCCTTCCTACAGGCATAAAATAAGTAAATAAATAAACATTTTTAGTATGATGAAGAATTTAAAATTTTCCTTGTTTTGATATGCAGAATAATTTTCTATCTCCATTCTCTCCCTTGAAACTCAGCTGCAAACTGCATTGTTTATTGAAGACTCTAAGGAAGCTCTTAAGGAAATAAGGAAAAATCTAGGGTTGTAAGAGGATAATCTCTTCCATTCGTGTTCCACAGGAGCCATTCTGCATTGATAGAGTAGGCCACTTATTCTTATCCATGAAGTCAAATGGTGTGGCTGCAGTGTGTGGACAAGGTACCTACGTGGATTGTGCACTTGTGAGCATGGTAGGCCTGGAAAGGGTATACGGATCGTGATGATGTTGTGATAATTTTCCAGAAGGAGAAAGCCTTTCCCGGGTGGCTTTCTGCTACAGGCTTTAGGGGATTACGGGTGAATAATGTAGCTTGTACTCACTCTTTCCTGTCTATTGGTTCCCACTTCCTGTCCTTGAGAAAACAGCTAGATCACTTGTATCCTCTTGTACAAGGTTTCCAGAAATAACCAGGTGGAACTTTGACTGAGTTGTAAAGAAACCAGTCCTCATGCACAAAGGCTGTATGTATTCTGAAGTGTGCATGGATTTTTAATGGTCCACATATCAGCTAGGTTCTTCTTGGCTTTATGATCTAGACAATCAAATATCCTGACTCCACACTTTATGGAAAGTCCAGTGCCCTTGCCAAGAGTGATCTGAATTTCTGAAAGTGGTAGATGAACGTGGTGGCTCCTTTATCTGATCGCCTGCCTGCTCTGGCTAGACTGTTGTGTTTATGGAGTCACTACCCTGCATGTGAAAAGCTTGGTCCACACCATGTGACACCAGTCATCAATTTCTACCATTCGGGTGAGTTGCCAAGTAGACTACTTACCCAGGCTCTTTGGAGGTGGCACTGACTTTACTGGTTTAGGGGAGATGGTGGGAAGTTTATAACAGAAGAACTCTACAACTTTAAAACTAAATAATCCTCACCTCTCTCTCTCTCTCTCTCTGCAAGTCCCTTGGTCTCTCCATTTTGCTGTTCATCTTTTCTTCCTCATCAGCATCCTCCTTCCTACAGGCATAAAATAAGTAAATAAATAAATAAACATTATTAGTATGATGAAGAATTTTAAAATTTCCCTGTTGTAATATGCAGAATAATTTTCTATCTCCATTCTCTCCCTTGAAACTCAGCTGCAAACTGCATTGTTTATTGAAGACTCTAAGGAAGCTCTTATGCCCAGGAATGGGCCTGGCCCTCTTGGCCAAATACGTCCTTAGACAAAAGCTCAGAGACTAGCAGTAGATATCTCTGCCTGCAAAATTATAGCTAAATGCTATATTATTTTCTGTGCCTTTTCATCATTTTTCAAAATTTTTACTGTACTTTTTATGCAGATACAAATAATCAAATGCTTTGAAAATGTTCTGGGAAAATAAATCTAGTCGTTTGTGGAAAATTGTTTCTCGGAGAACATGTATGGAAAGGGGATTTGAAGAAAGCTGAAGTTGATGTTAAGAGTGGGGGTCAACAAACTTTACCTATGAAGGCCCAAAGAGTAAATATTTTAGGTTTTGTGGGTCCCACGGTCTGTGTCACAGCTATTGGACTCTGCCATTGTTCAGAAAGCAGCCATAGATCACACACAAATGAGTGTGACTGTGTTCCAATAGAATTTTATTTACAAAAACAGGTGGCAAACCAGACTTGGCCCACAAGCTGTAGTTTGCCAACCCCTGCTAAGAGGATGTGTCAAATGTGGATCACATTATCCATGAACTTCATAAGAGCATGAGGGAACGCCTCAAAAACAGGAAAGTTGAGATGATGTGGTTAAACCATTGTGTAGCTTCCATAAAATGTAATTGTTTCTCTTATTAGTATATTTTAGAAAGTTTAGAAAGATAAAATGTTTGGCTCCTTTAATAACTTAAAGAAGCTTAAAAGGAACTGGGAGAGTAGAATGCTAGAATTGAGAGAAAAACTAAGTTGGATTAGAGGAAAATAAATCAGGTAGAGAAAAACTTGGTGAACGGGGAGAGACAGTGTGGGGCAAAGACTGCCGACATGGTCTCAGGAACCCTGGGTGCATGTCCAGCCTCTGGTGGGAACTCTTTGATGATCAAGTCAGTTTAACTTCTGAGGCACCCGGTGCTCTTTCTTGGAAGTGATAAAGGTGTTGCACTAGATGAGTCTAATATCCTCTCCTGCTCTAGGATTCCATGAGGAGTTAACTCAGAATCTTATGGAGAATAGAAATGAACACTGGAAAATATTTTCTCCCTTTTTACCCTTAAGATTTAATAAACACATTGAGTGTTGCTTGCGGGCCAGGTAGTTGCCCCTGCATTATCTTACTTCACACTCCCAATAACCAACACTGTTTTCTTCCTTAGATCTGTCCAGTTGAGCCTAGTGGTTGGGTATTCTTACTGAGATCTTCTCATATAGAACCTGGACCTCTCAGAAGTTAAATAACTGACTATGCTACCCAAATAATAAGTGGTAGAACTGAGAGTCAAACGTTAGGCCCACCATGTCAGGCTACATCATTTATTCCACTCAGTCATAGTTGCATACCTTTTTTTTCCAGGAAAGGAAAAAAATGGACATTGAAAGGCAAATGGGAACTTTCTTCTGAGTGCACAAATGAAAGAAGTCAGTAGGAAGTTTTCAAAATTTATACTGGAAGTACATACCATTGAGGAAAACCTTTAACAGCAAGATGAGGTTTGGCAGGAGTTAAAGGTACTTTTCTATGGAGGCCTAAAAGAGAAACGGAGTGGGAGAGGGCTGGGTGTTGAAAGGATGAAAGGAGGACACAGAAGTCAGTCCCAGTCTGCTACCTGAATGACTTGGAAAGGAGCAAAGTCCTCCAAAGGAGAAGGACCTGCATCCTCCGAGTGCCTTTGCCCCATCTGGGAGGGCCTCCCTGCATCTGTCACTGTGCCTTACAAGGAAATGGGCAGTGCACCTGGGGACAAACTGCTTTTCCTACTGCCTTCTGACTCCAGCTAGTCCCCTAATGAAGACCAATAATTAGTTTAAACTCACGGAGTCAGGGCAGAGGGAGGAGGGGCTGCTACCTGGCTCAAGAAGGAAGTTGGTATCACCTTTGAACATGACTGCAGACACAGCAGAGGCCAGTGACAAACCAAGTTTTTTGGTTTTAGTTACTGACCTTTCCAGTGAAAGAACTCATTGTATCTTAGCCCTGGGGTTTGGGGTTTGGTTGGGAAACATCTTCTTCTTTTACATTTACATCGTGTGTGTGTGTGTGTGTGTGTGTGTACTTTCCAGTCACAAAGGGCCCATTTATCATCACTAAGGAAAACAGGAGAGAGCATTACAGGACATGGACAGCACGGTGCCCAGGAAATTGCATTCTTGTCTGGATCCAGACAGCTCCGGTGGACAAAGAAGGCTTAGCTGCTCTCAGCTGTTGATGTGTCTTTTGAAACATCCGGATGAGGTCTAGTTGGTCAGAAGAAAAGTGAGTCATGGTAGGATGAACAAAGAGAGGTCATGGGGATGGAAGATGGATGAAATAAGCAAGAAGATAGTTATCCTCTCAGCCAATGGATTCATAGGCCCTGTCCAATATTCTCAACTTAAGACATTCTGCTGAGGGTTTGGGGGCAAGGTCTGTGGGTTGGTCAGTCCGGCTCTCTGTCTTCACTGTCTCACCTGTCCCCCGCCATCTTTTTCCATAAGGAGTCTTACAAAGGTGGCGTGCACTGAGAGTCCAAGCAGTTTTACCAGCTGAAATCCCCACTGTGTCAACATAAAAATTCATTATGTCTGCTTTTAGGAACCACAGCATTTTAGTAAAACTTGCCCGCCTGTCACGTTAGGATGAGCTTTTGAGACTGAAGACTAATTTCTACTTCAGTACCTTGTGTTTTAAAACCCTCATATCATCCTTGTCCTTTAGTACCTTTCCAGGATAGGGATCAAGCAGGACCAGTCAGGGGACACATTTGTATTCAATCACATTAAAGGTGTTTGGTCAAGAGTTTAAAATTGGGGGAGAATAAACAATTAGCCAAATATTGACCAGCCATGTTCAGGTGAGTACACGACAACTGTGGAGGCATGGGAAAGTCCTGGTTAGAAGCGACATGTGGCAAATGGAAAGGGAAAGGATAATTTCCCAGGCAAAAAGGGTCCTGCCCTGGCCGGGTGGTTCAGTTGGTTCGAGCATTTTCCTGTACACCAAAAGGTTGTGGGTTCTATTCCCATTTAGGGCATATGCCTAGGTTATGGGTTCAATCCCCAATCGGGGCATGTACAGGAGGCAACCAATAGATGTTTCTCTCTCACATCAATGTTGCTCTCTCTCTTTCTCTCTCCCTTCCTCTCTCTCAAATCAATGAACATATTCTCAGGTGAGGATTAAAAAAAGGGTCCAGCTGAGAGTCAGGGACTCCCCTG